ATTAGAAAATTATATAAAAGACAACATTGTACTTAATCTAAAAAATTTATGAAACGAATTTTTTACATCTAATCTTTAAATGTTGACCAAAAAAACGCAGCATTACCCTTTTTCTTTCTACGTTCTCTTCCCACATGGATTTTCTGGAATAATAATTATTTCTTTTCACAATATATTTTCGGTATTTATATTAAAAAATTTCAATATTTATATTAAAATAACTGACGACTACAACGAAGTTAATTTAGTAATTTCTCAATCATTTCGCTTCTCGTCTTTTTTTACAATTTAAAATTAGGAATATTTCCTTTAAATTATTGGATTGGATTAATTAAAATTGTCTTAGCATTCTAAAAATGCGATTCTATAGACCGCCGATAGTCTAGCTCGATTGTTTATTTTAATTGTCCACTAGCACTGGCACTGGCTATAAAGGAAGTTGACAATGTTCAGTTTTACTAAATTTTAAAAATTCAAAGAATTTAAACTTACATAACGCTCATCGAAATAATTATAATAAGGATTATAAGCATCCACTATTTTGTTGTGCTAAAAAAAATAGTATTTTCCTTTTGTAATATAACATGGCTCTTTTTAGATTAACGAATAGAAAATTTTAGTTTAAATGAAAATTAATCAAGTTTGGTTTAATTTAACAAACCTCCGTATTCTTCATACTTTTCCGAAATATAGCAGGATCTGAAACATATTCACAATTTCTCGATATCATATTGCTTTTTGCAATAATTTTTTTTAATGCAAAATTCATGCATATTGATTTCTATTAAATGGTAAAAAGCACTTTAATCATTTGTTACTATTTGAAATTTCTAAAATTTTTCGAATTTATCAAAATCAGTTATGATAAAAAATTTTCGCGTGTTTTATTTAAGTTTTGATTATAACTCTTTCTCGAGGTTACAATTATTTTAGATGATTTTTAATGAATAATAAAAACTAGAATAAAAAAAATGTGCAACATTCGACGACTCACCTTGTTTGTTAGATTCAGAACCAGGTCGCTAAATTAAAATTCGATTTGAATTAAAAATTTTAATTTCATTCAGATATTAGTTTTTAGGCAAAATTCATGCTTTATTAATTTCAATTTATTACTTTCTATTAAATGGTAAAAAAGTACGTTCATCATTTGTTCCAACCAATCATAATATGGTATAAAACGTAAGATTAAGATTCCAGCCATTTCAATTGTTTGAGAAATAGTGAACATTTCAATCCTTTTATTTTGTACTACACTCTTAATTAGTATCCTACACTTAGTTCCACAACATTGCCAAATGGAGAAATAAATTGTTCGAAAGATATATTACAAAAATTTGATAATTTAAATGTCTTAAAAGAAAAAAACAAATAAATTTTAAAAAGCATAAATATTAAAGAAATTTAACGGAAAGTTTTAAGACAGCAAATTTGAAATTTATTATAATCCTCAATATCATTTGATCTTTTTCATTTTTCTAAAAAACTGGCGCTAGAATTTTATGTAATATTTATTGAATATAACAACACAATGCTACTATTCATTCTTCATTTTATTCCCAAAAGCTATAAAAGCATACCATATTTAATTATTAATCCGCGATTACTCAGTAAAAATTTTTACGAATAAAAAAAATAGACAAATTATAAAACGCCCGTCTGGCAGTAATTAATAGACAACAATGCAATGCGACGAAACATTTACCATCTTTTATTCTCTTTCAACAATAATTGTATTTAATGGTGTAAATAAATTTCACAGTAAATAATCACCATATTTTATATGGAGAATGATCAATTATTAATGTAAAAACTCTTGACTTCATAATTCTGAATAAATTAAATTTGTGGAACAATGTATAAATAATTAGCAAACAAACAAACAAGCAAATATTGGTAAACAAAGATATTTACAAGTAAAAATTCTAGGAAAAACACTGCAAAGTTATTTTGTAATTATTTATATATATTGATTGTAATAAAATATTCTGGAATATATAAAAAATAGTTCATTAGTAAAAATTAGACATAACGAAAATTAGATGATTCAAGAAGTATAAGAAAGTATTGGCCTAAATAGCCTAAATGGAACGGTCCGAATGCTTGACTAAAGTATCATATGCCGCATGTATAGATAGAAAAGATTACTAAAGGCTTATAGTTCTAAAAATTAGGCTTAATAGTTTTAAAATTTGAGACTATATTCGCTTTTCATTTATAGCTTCATGTGGATAGTAAAAATTTTTCACAAAAGGCTTTACACTTTCCCATATGAACATATGAACTTTTGGCTTCGTGATTTTGAATAAATTAAATTATTAGCAGTAAAGAAGTCGACAAATCATTTAACGAGCTAATCGGATGTAATAATCATGATATAATGATTATAATAATCATAATTATTATAATATTTAATGGTAGTGGCTGGTATCTACCATAGTAAATAAATCAACTAGCAATATGGCACGAATTTGATAGCAACCTTTTGTTTCACTCCTACCATTACCAAATAAAACATTGATTGTGTAATGGAGATTTCGAAAGTGGAAAAGCATATCTGATAAAGAACTTTAATTTCAAGTTAACCCACTAACTATTTCGTGATCACTGATCATTGAAAAAATATGCACTCAGGTTGAAGATTTCGAAGATCGATTGCAATGTTTAAACTACAAAACAACAAAAATTTCTGAATATTTAAAATTAACTTTATGTATAATACCTCCGAAGTTAAGCAAACTGTTCGATTTGTTCAATTCCAAAATGTTCCCAACTGAATATGTATGCCAGAAATTTCTTCAACCCAAAATAAGATAGCATTATAAAAATGGAATAATCCAAAAAATGACACTGTAAAAATAAAGCAAAATATCTTTACAGATAAATTCTTTTAATGGAGTTCAAAATTATATAATCAGATCATAATTATAAATTTTTCACTCATAAGAAGACATGCTGTGCTGTACTTTATGTGATATCTCTACTATTATCATTTCATTAAATATCAATCTAGTTATTTACTGAAAATTGCGATTGCCAAAAATCTTCACAAACTTTTTTCATTAACTTTGTTTTCTTCTTTGGTTTGAATAGTTTCATCCTAATTTTATTATTTTTAGAAAGCAACAATCTCCTTTTTTAGAATGCTTCTCATTTCATCCACTTCAGGGAATCTTTAAACGACTAGCAAAACTTCCTGCTCTGTAAGAAACGTGACGTTCAAAAACTTATTTTTAGAATATTTTCATATTAAGAGATAAGGTTTAATCGTATAAGCTATCCATTATGAGATGAAACAATGGAGTTGATCATTTTAAAAACTGAAAATTCATTACGTAAGATGTCCAGTACTTTCACATTTATTTCACAAAGATTTCGTGGCGCAGGTACCAACCGTGGGTTTCATGAATATATGTTTCATGAATAATATATGTTTCATGAACTATTGAATTCTCTTAACATTCTCATGTTAAAAGAATTCAATAGAATGCTTGAAAGCATTATTATCTTATCGCGTTTTGATTGCAATGCGAACTAAATTTAAATACTAAAAAATTTAAACATAATACTAAATTTAAACATTTTCCTTCTAATTAGAACTTTAAAAATTTCCATTCAGTATGAACTAACCAAACGTTAAAATAACTGAATTTGAAAATTTCCCTACTTCAAAGAATTTAAAATACTCCTCGCCATAATTCAATGTTGGAAAAGCTATAAAAGATGAATATGAAGTGATAGAAAAGCACAATGCGCAAAAATGTTGCATAGTTTTTGTGATATGAAAAAAAAAATATTTATTTGATTTTAATAATTTCAAAGTAAACACCTTATTCAACTATTGTAACACTGCCATAATAGATATGGAGAAAAAATAAGACTGAACAAACATGAAAATACGGCAAAACGGACAATATCACTTCTTCATAAGCTCTTTCATTGTCGTGCCACTGCATCCTACATTTTCTGGATCCAAATTTACGAAATGAATTATACAGTGCGTTGGATCGATACCCAATGTTTTTTTCATGAATTCTGATATTGATGAGGAATAATTGATGTTTTTATCAGCCGAAAATGATCCAATCGATTTAATCTGGAAATTTCAAATATATAAATATTTAAGTATCGGAATATCAACTGATGTCGCTCGATAAAATATGATATAATTTAATGGACTGATGATAAAGTTTGTTTTAATTGCCAAGATGGTTAGAGTCTCAAATTCGAAAAAATATTAATTAAATGAAATCATATATATTTTTAATCTTAACTTCACAATTATCTTACATTTTTTTTGCACGTTTTTATATACATTATCATAACTTATTACAATTTAAAACTTTCTTTTATTAAATTCTCATGCAATATTGATAGCATTAGGATCATGACGTTTCATAGCGCGCTACATCAATTAGATAAAATACTTGTAGCAAGATGTATGTCTCCACATGGAATTAGAGAAGACAGGAAGAGCAAAAAGATGTAGGGTTAGCAGAGGGAACAGAGAAGTGATGGAGAGTTGAAGTGTTCTTTCTTTTCTGCGAAATTTCATTAAAAAAATAAAAAGTAGAATAGACATAATCGTAATTTTAACTTTTTCTGAATTTATGCTGAAAGAAAAACAAACGACAATGGCAAAATACATATGGAAAAGACGAAAGACAAAACGAAATGTGTACATTTATCTCATTCTTGCTTTTGGCTATTTGATCCCAAAACCATTTTAGATTAATTTTGCTAGTGAAGTGTTGGTCGGTTTTGCTTTGAAAGGGTCGAGTGGTGTTTGTGCACGGATATTTGGGCTGCTGTTGGCGACTCATTACAGTTTTAGGCCAAAAACTGATAAGCTCAAATGGTTGTTTGACATGTACTGTATTGTGTGGACATGACCTTTTCTATGCTAATCAAGTTTTTATACACTAAAAATGTAACTTGTAAATATTTACATAACATTCATTAAGGTTTAGCACTATTTGTGGTGGTGGTGGTGGTGCGAAATGTCTGTTGGAGGAAGAGGTAGCTCATCACGTGGAAATATTTCAAGAAGGGGTCATGCGCCGTTGCCAAATCTTTCCATTGCGGGAAAACGTGAGACAAAATGCGAATCAACGGGGTAATCTGATCATTTCATTTCTTCTTGTTGACTGTTTTATCAAACACTGTTGAATTCTCTCATTATATATGTTTTTTATTTTGGATATTCTTCTAGAACAAAAGAGACTCGGCGAGCAGGGAAGCGTGAAAGAGGAGGACGTGGGAGATGTGGACATAATCGAGGTCGAGAAACGGGAAGACAACACTTTATAGAACAGCAAGGAATATTTTCATTCAGTTTAAATGATGATGGGCGACATAATAGAGTGAAAAGTAACATATCGAACGGTAAATTATTTTCTGCAATCAGTTCTTATAAATCAGTACTCGATGTAACGGAATGTATATTCATTGATAATGTACTAATGATAAAGCTGTAGTTGAACAGCTGTTACAGAATTGCGCACGATAAGTCTTGGACGAGTGAAGAAAGTAGATCCCGAGGATGCAAAAAAGGAAAGTGATATAAACTCTATAACATATGAAACAGAATGGTTGTCTGATGAAGAAGCTGATAACGAAGAACTGCAAGAATTGCTACGGGATGGGGTGCAGTTATTATAATTACAAATAGGCTAAATGTGAACAAATATCAGCGTAGTTTTGTCTTTCTCTGATGTGTATGTGTATGTGTGTATGTATGTGTGTGTGTGTGTGTGTGTGTGTGTGTGTGTGTGTGTGTGTTACCATGGTGGGAAAGATCATCGATTATCCATTCACTGTGAACAGAAAAAAAACCCAAGATTGTTTTGACCTAGATAAAAAATACTTTTTGTGGTTAAAAGTTAAATATGAATGAATTGTATCTGTTTCCAGTTCTTGTCAGACTTGAAACCGGGGAAAGTTATTCCACTGGTTTTACCGGAAACGGAACAAGAACAATTCCAGCAGTTAGTTAAGAAAGAGATAAATGTGGAAAATGGTTGTGAATCCATGGATATAGACTCTTTGCTACCAGCGAAGAAAAAGTTAGTTTTGGATGTAACGTTCATTACTTTTGATATGTAATTATGTCAATTATCTATAACGTTATTTGTTTACAGAAGGAAGGACAATCAGCACATTAAACCAGAATGTGAATTTGAAGAGGACATCAAAAAACTGAGGGAGTTGGAAAGTGTTAACACAGTATTGGATCCAACCGCAACAAGCAGTCGTAGGGCAGCTACCATTATGCGGAAAATTCAAAAAGGTATTCGATCACGCTCTCACGTGGATATTATGATTTTAAAATGTACTGGTCCACTAGTTACAGTTAATGCCATTTCAGACGAAGATGGTTCAGTTTTGATGCTGCAGTTACCAAGTACCTTGTCCGCTATTAAGAACTCAGCCAATCAAGAAGATACAATGGAAAGATCGAAGGTTAAATTCTGTTTTTCATCGTTCATTGTGGTAACTCTAATGCGTTTTTCTCAATATCCAGTCACTAATTTCAGTAAAAATAGTTATACTAGAAATTGTATCCTGACTATTTCTTTTTGCTATCGTATCCTATTCTTCGGGTGGTCTTTTATATTACTAATTCTTTTATGCTATATTTACTAACATTTCATAAATCACGTTTTTTTAGTCCGAAGAGAACACATATCCAACATTAAAACATTGTCTTGATGGTTTTGCAAATGGTAGCAAAATTGGAAAACTGCGAATACGAAAAGGAGGCCGTATGGAGCTGTCATTTTGTGGGATGCCTTTGGATGTAACTTGCGGTGTTGCTACAAAATATAATGAGGTTACCTGCTTTTTCTAGTCGACTGCTTCGTCAGTTTGACAAAATTTTTCGTGACGTACAGTATACGGCATGATTTAAACAGTGATAAACTGCATTCATGCGTGAGAGCGGGTGAATAAATGGGAGTGTTCCGAGAAAGGTATCTTACGAAAACGATTAGGCAATGAACTTAGAAAAATCATTTTTTTTGTGTTTTTTTTACTAAGAAACATTCTACAATTCGAAAATTTCAGTCAGTTTTGCTAATTGATTCTGAAAGTCAAACAACTTCGACGATCAAAAGCGAATGTGGCGATGAACAGTCACCATGCAGAGGTTATATTCTAGGTACAATTGTTGGTTCTTTTGTTTGTTCGCATAATCTTCCAGAGGCTCTTGATGGTAAGCGAGAGGAGCAACAACGAGACAAACGAAAATTCTATGAGATTAAAAACCAACAAGATGAAAGGGAAGATCTGGAAATGAAAGACTTGCTTTTGGAATTAAATTCAATTGAAAAGAAAGAAGAATCTTGGTCAAAATGGACCTTAGAATACTCAGATTCTTTGAAATACGATGATTCATAGTATTTGTTGTATTAGGATATTTATGTTTTCTTCAAACTATTAAGTAGGATTTTTTAAAATTGATTCTTTGGAACGTAAAATACTGTTTGGTTATTAACATCTTGAGAAACATCTATGTTTTGAGAAGTGCCTTGTCTTTTCATTATTTTTAAACACTATGAAGTATGCCAGAGTAAATTCACTTACATCAAAAAGTTTCCTGATTCTTTCTATTCTATATTTTTATTGCTTTTAGATGTATACTGTGCTCTTTTGAAGACTATTTCAGGGGTTATTTTTCCTGAAATTATGTAATTTGTTTCCTTAGTTTGGCTAATACGGGTTGTTCTTTGCTTATTACTGGCTTCTTGCTTTCTTTTCTCACTGAGGTAATTTCTTCCTTTAAGACAGATATCTCCGATAAAAAAGATCACCCTTGTTTCAAAATTCACTTTCCGGCAAGATTTTTCAAACCGTTGCTGCTGTAGTGGAACTTTTGGAAGAAGTTTATCCAAGTTGTGTGTACATCGAGATTGTTAATTGTTATCGTAATTGTTTAATTGTAAAACATTGGTTTTATAAGCTAAAAGTAAAAAAGAACGGAATCAAATAAACTGAACTAACCACAATGAGACATGACGGATCTTCCGTGGCACCATGAGACAATTGTGCATTTGGCGTCACAAGTAGAAGTATCCGACTCTCTGGTTTTCCTAGTATTTCTGCCATTAGCTTCGTGAACTGAACATTGAAATTACTCGGAAATCTACTCGCAAGAACATTCGATGCAAACGTTATCAGCGGCATTCTAGAATGTTATTTTAAAAGATAACTTTTTAATTTGGATTTTAAAGAAAACCGGGAATATAACAAGTCCTCCCTCCTAGAAAGATCGACGATTGAATGGTTCGTTTACTCAATGCTTTTGTTTTTTCGTAGCAGTGGAGCATGAGGATATATAGACAGTGTATATATTTTCCTACTAGTAAGTTAGGAATTATCCACGACTTGTTTACAATGCAGTTCCGGCATTTTTCATCAAAATTTTCATCAGTCTTAATAGTCAGAATCAAAAATTTTATCAAAAAACCTGGCTGGGTAGGGGGAAAGTGCAATAAATTATACCTATGAAAAGATTTGAAAAGTTAAAAAAGTATGAAATGTGAATGCACTGCTCATTATTTTAGACATTAAGATTGTATATGTTTTTGTTAGATGGAAGGATTAAATGAATAAGTCTCAAACAGATGTTAAAATAATATGTAAGTACAAGAATTAAAGATTGAATACGATTTACTCATTTTTTAAATAAAATGATACTTCGAACGAACTATGTAGGCTTTTCTACATCAGCACATATTCACATCAGACATAATTGTACTAACTTCCAGGAACTTTACGACACAAACTACTGGACGAATAGTTTGTACTTTACTCTGTTTATCCGATTCCTTTACTTTTACCACGCTGCATCATTGATATTAACCCATGTCAGAAATATGTAACAAAGAACAGAAGCTATCAACATATGCTAGAAAGATATCTTTTTCTCGATAGACATTATCCGAATTAACTTTAAAGAAAAAAATCCTATTAAAATTAGAACTCTACTGGAGCTAATCAGTATCTCATAAGCTCCACAATAGTTTATCGCATATCGTACTCTGACAAGTAAATCAGTATCTCATAAGCTCCACAATAATTTATCGCATATCGTACTTTGGCAAAACAAGTAATCGTTTAATCTCGTCGAGCATTAGTTCATAATACACGTTGGATGAATAATAAAAGAATGAGTTATACTTAATCTTAAAGCTTAAATGAAATCATCCATTTGTTAAGTTGAACTAAAACAATACTCGTGATATACATTCAGATGACCTGTATCAATACAGGTCTCCCACGAGACATATACTTTTGATCTAGCTGTAAACAAATTTTGAAGCCAATCTTGACCTACTTTAAAATCAAAGTCACCAAACTCTCTGTTTCATCGTACAACATAATAATGGCACAAACCGTTTACTTGGTACCACCTTTACTTATCGTATTAGTTAAAAGGGAAGGTAAACCGGAAATTAATCAGTATCGTTCATTCATCAGCAATACAATTTTTTCTAACAGCAATTCGCTTGCTAAGATTTGCTAACTCTCTTAGCAGTGCCGTTTGCAAAAGTCAACAAGGTCATCTTTATAGAATATTAGTCTCAGGCTGATCTCATCATTCGTGATTGAAGATGATCAGAATCGAACATCCAATTTGCGATCCAATTTATAGCACTACAAATCATCCGATGTTGGACAAAAACTATAACTTGCCAAAATCCGCAATAACCATCCAGATGATGAACATATAACAGTTGAATGGAATTACAGATTCACGGTAACATTTAACATTACAATTATGATTCTCAAGCAACAATATTTTCGAATATAAGATCAGGACTAGCCCTCTAAGGAATGAACGGTTAGTAATGCATTGTAAATAATTTATACTCACGTTTTCACTGATTTTAAAGATTTCTGTTGGTCATGACACTTTATAATTAATGACAAAATAGAAAAAAGTTTAAGACTGAGTACCAGGAGATATAGGAATTCCTTCTTAAAGTATGGTAAAAATCTTCAAACATTTTCCAGAAATTGGAAAACGGTATTCGAAACACATTTATTTTTTAAATTTTGACATATGTATCTTTCCAAATTTAAAATTTGGCTCATAAATTACTATACATGGAAAACAAACAGAGAAGAATCTTGTTAAAAATGCGTTATCAAATGCTGGTGGAGAGAATGAAAGAAAGCAAGAAATTTCAGTAGTGATTTTGACGATTTAAACGACGTGATAAAATGGATTTTAAATTTGTGCGGAGGTAGATATGAAGATGTAAACTTCTGAACAAATGAAAAATTAAGATAAATTTGAAAATTATTCTAATACTTAGCGTTTAGATCACTCTTAATTTCCTTTTATACCTTTGAATAACATAATTAAAACAGTTGTGCAGGAAAATTATGCTTAAGGATTACCAGTTATAGCTAGAAATGTGAATTTTCTTCAGAATAATAAATGAATGAAAGTGCATGCTTTCTTGAAAGTAAAATCTTTAAAGAAATCCAAAAACAAATAAAGGAATTCCATATGGTTAATTGGAACAAACATCAGTAGACGACAGACGACATACAATTAAGAATTATATAAATGTTGCAAACTGTTAATATAAAGACATTTTCCAATGGCAGGCTATCGAAAAGAAAGCTATATTTGTTTTCATTCATTTGTTCCATCGTCTTAATCAGCATAATCCCGACACGCACGATCGAATTTACGAAGTTTACGAGCACGGGCATGTTGCTCTAAAATAAGACATTAATCTCTAGAATAAAATTAAGTAAAGCAAACAAATCCAAGCATACTCTGTTCTCGCTTTTGCCGCTCTAAAGCTGTGTCCATATCAATTGTGTTGTATTTGACAAATAAAGGATCCTTGACAACCGCTTCTTCCACTCGAACCAATTCATACGCTTAAACAACAAATCGAAAAGATCTATAACAGAATTCTACTTTGACGTCTAATAATAGAACAAAAATATAGTCAAGAAATGTCATAAAGCTTACTCCCTTGCTGATCGCGGCGGTAAACGGGCTTCTCACCTAGCCAGTGACGAATGGGAGCAATGCGATTCCTTTTTGAACGTCGCAAACCTCCTTCAGTTTCCTCACAGTGTACTACAAGGGACAAACTTGCATTACAGAAATTCAGACATTCCATAACTTTAAAAATGCATAACAGCAATTCCAACAAACGAATAAAAACTGTAGTTCGGTAAATGCCACCTATTTTGCGGGCACGTAGGACAGCAGAATGTTTGTCTTCATTCTTCGCTGCTATGATGTGCACGGGAGAGGCCGAAATATCAGATGGATTGTGTGAATTATCACTAAACGATGGATTTATTTTGATAACTGGGTCCTCCTCTTTGCCTGGTGTATTCACTGATACATTTGATTCATTAAGCACTGCAACATCAAGCATGAGAATTTGCATCCAATAAACACTTCAAATTTTTGCTTATGCAAAAATGATGTATTTTAAAACGAAAAATGAGTTCAATGAATAAAATAGTAGCAGTGGAACAATATAATAAAGTCATCAATGAAATCATATTTTTCACAATTATAAATTCTCGAAAACTGTTCTCTAGCTTCAAGAGTCACAATATATTTACACCCAACTATCATAATTGTCAGACTTTGAAGAGAAAATAGTTCAGTCTTTTGACTGAAACACGATCAGCAAAGTAATCAAATAAATACTTGATAAAATCCTCCGTCGACCAAAGTAATTTCCAGTATCAAAAAGAGGTGTTTTTTCCCGTTTTCGATATTCGTTGACAGTAGTATCAAAAACAATTTCCGGTTCCTCCAAAGGTATATTTTGTTCCTTATCCTTTACGATTAATTTGGCTGTATTTTCAACTAATTTTTCCATTGTATCACCGTCAAAACTTTCAATAACAACAAGCTGAGTATCATTTATTTCCTCTGAAATGCTTTACAGATATTTTCGAAAAGAACAACACATGCAGTTTCCAGAACAAAAAGTCCTTTTTGACTGCGAAGAACAAAATCAAACCTTTAGAAACTTTTGCTGTTGGACTCACATATTTCGGAGACAAGTTGGAGTTCTAAAAACAACAAAGTTGAAAAACTGAACACTGCAAAAAAGTGTAGAAAAGACCACGGCTTTACGGATTTCATGGAAAAATTCGTAGAATAAATATGAATATTACCAGCAAGATTTGAAGTTACCTCAGCACTCTTTTCAAACCGAAGTTTTCCGATTGACGACAATAACTTCGAAGGATGAGGCCGACGTCTATATGCAGGTCCACTTCTCATAACATTATCGACAAGCATCTGGCTTATATCTAAAAATAAAAATAAAAAAATAATTCAACTCTCAAAAAATGCAAAGAAAAAATATGAATAAAATTACCAGTTTTTGCAACGGGTGTTTTTGGAACTGACAGTAATGAATTATCTCCTGTGATTTCCTTCCATCTTTTTTCTGTACTGGAAATTGGTCTTGGCGTTCCACCACTTTTTAAATGCTCGAAAGCAAAACGTGATAATGGTATCTGCGTGACCGAACTCATACAACTTGTGTGCCGATGTCCAAGTTCAGTTTTATTGCATTCCTCAAAAATGAAATCATCTAAGATCATTTATTAAGGAATTAAGATTAATAGAAAAGATGCTTTGTCACAAGACCGAGTAGGTAAATACTGACTTAATCAGTACAATTTGCAATCTGAAAAATTGTTATTCTACCGAGAAAATTATATATAATTTCATACCTGCCACGATGTCTGTTTCGCATTAAGAACGTGTAACTTAGGAGTCAATTCATAATCGACTAAAGCGCTTCGCTATAAAAACATATTTTGGAAAAATTTTTGTACTGTAACAATAAATTTCTTGAAATTTATAATATTACTTTCAAGTTCAACAAATCTCTGCTCAAATGCTACTTTCATCATTAGATTAAAGTAAATCCAATAAAACCAGTACTTTTGATGAAGGAGACGGAGTACCATACTGTGAAATTGCTTTTAATGCACTAGTTGGTACAGGTATCCGAGAAAGTGTAGAAGCTTTCCCAGCAGATAGTTCACAGGAAATACGTGAAGAGCATGGTAACGGACGACGTATTGGTGTCAGCTAAAAAAGTAAATTTGGTCTTTTTCTTTCTTCCGTTATGTTCTGTTATGGATTTATCCTAAAGTTTTGAGATAAAGCAAATAATGACTCTCCCATTTAATTAAAATTCATATTAAGATTAAATAAGATAAAATACCGCATTCTGAGGCAAAATCCGACTATGAAATGATATCGGTGTACCAGAACCTGTCTGCGTAGCGTGACTGAAACACTTCTTTTTAAAGAATTTTTATTGTTCAAAATATTTCCCTTAAGAAATCAAAACTGCATTTGGAAAGTTGGTTTAACTTATGAAATAAAAATTGTGTTGATATTTACCTAGCCAAAGCAGCATGATGAGCGTCATAACGTGGACAAACGTAACAAGCAGATCCTTCAATTGGAGTACTAGTGCCACGTGAAGCTGTAGACGCAACAGATCTCTAAAATAAATGCTGAAAAATTCCAAAAAAAATCGCAAAATTTTCACGGACACCACACAGACCACTTACTTTCCTGAACAAAGGTGTAGCAATTGTAGGTTGTTTCCTGATTACCGTATGTTCCACTACAGTCCTCATATGTTGCTTAGGAGTTTTGAAAGATATAGCAGTTCGGTCGTTTGGACGTGAAGTATTTACACGTGTAATACTATTACCCATCTGCTCCATTAAATCAGAACGAGAAATACGGGAAGCTCGCGGATTTATTGGAGAAATCTATAATAATTACCAAAAATATACAATAATAAAAAAATTTTAATAAACAAAAGAACTGAAAACAAAACCATTTCTATCGAATCAAAGGAAAAGCAAGAAAAAGAATAAGCTAACATACTTCACTTTTTCCACCAGCTGATAAATCAAATTTATCAATACGAGATAAATCAAATGTTGCTTGCAAAGGAGCAGGATATTCAAAAATTTTTTGGTTTGCCTGCTGTGGAGATATTTCATTTTCCTGAAGAGATTATGAAAAACAAGAGCGGAGATTAAAACATAGTCAAAATGACTACAAGACTTTTGATTGCCACAAAATTATTCCGAACTATATTTCCTAATACAAATGAAGTTAATGTCATTAACTGTAATATAAGAACAAATAATTGTAGCCTCTAAACGAATAGTACTTCAACTACTTAAAACTACCACTCTTTTTAATATTAAAAATCGTGAAATGTATTGATATTCCTTATCAATACATTTAACGACTTCAAAAAAGTTACAAAGTTTCGAAAAACTAACATGGTGAATACTGATCAATCCAGCCGTTTGCAATATCTGATGTTCAGCTACTTCCATCGCTTTATTTAAAATCTCCCGCCGTGATATTTTTTTAGCAGTCTACAGCAACTACTTTTTTGCAAAAATAAGCCTATACTTTTGGCTTACGAGTAGTAAATAACAGTCATCTAGCTCATTTAAAAATATGGACGTAAAGGAGGTATCATTTTGGGAAGTTACTCAAAAAAGTATAAATAATCTACAGACATTTTCAACTAAAAGAAACAGTTTTAGTCTAGCCATTAATTTAAATCGAACAAGATCTGTGACTACTTGTGTCTAACCAGTATCAAGAGCTATATTTAGTGCTTCTTTCTTTGAATAATTTTCATCAAAAGCCAGAATAAAAATGTCTATATTTAAATATGTGAAAGAGTTGGTATAAGCTTACTTCATTAGAATCGAGTACAGAAATGTTGTGCTGCTCCTTTTGATCTTCTTGTATTGGATTCATCATAATGCCCTGTAAAAAATTACTCGTTCTCCAAGATAATTACTCGTTAATTATCGAAAAAAAAAATATATACAGTTATACTGAATAATGAAAAAAACCTCGGCTTCCTGCGATTTCTCAACAGTGATAGTCTCATTCGATTTAGGTTCTAACATGGGTTCACATTCTTCACTATTGCCCACGCGATCATTGCTAGTAAGCAAAAGTTTATTATCTTCGTTCTTTTCAACAGTATATGTCAGGTTTGTATCATTGTTCTAAAATTAATAAAGTTTCAAAACAAAACAAAAAATGTCAAAGCATCTTCAAGATCGAGATTTAGAAAATGAAAAAATAATTTAATCAAAATCAACCTTTAGCAAAGTTTGGTTGAGAGTTTCCTGCACATTTTGGCTTTGACAATATGTATTATGATGAAAATATGAAGCTGAAAGCACAATATTTTGATTCTTCAGATTTTAAAGCTTTTCCTGAAAACAATATTTCATCGAAAAAACGATAAGAGAATAAAAAACTTTTACAGCCATCAACTTCCATTGGTTCACCAAAATCGTTGATGTCATTTTCATCACTTGCAGTATCGTCAATAGCAGTTTTTTCTGTTTCATCAATGGCAGTAAGGACGTCTGTCTGCTGACTTCTGCTTACTGAAATATATTTACTATTAATTTAAGGATGATATGAAAGTAAACAATTCCTAAAGGAATAAAAGAGTACAAACCTGAGTCATCGTCTGCACTGTATGATGTTTCAATATAAGTAACACTGAAATCCGGAGTTGGCGCACGATCCGTTAAGACATTAAAATTAGGATGCGTTTCTCTCGCCTCAATCAGATAAAATTACATATCATAACCCCTTCATGCTACATAATTCTGCAGTAAAGTGAACTTCAAACATTTCATAATATCATATTCTCACAGCAATCAGTACACGATTATAATTATGACGGTCAGATAGTAGTTCAAAAAAATTTAAAAAGTAGGGTCAAAAAACTTCGCAGTATTACTTTCTTCAATCGTTCCTTTGCTTCCTTCCGAAGAATTTCCAATTGTTCATTCTTAACTTCGCTTTGTACGGGGGGAATTTTTACTTCATCCAGAAAGTCTGGTGTATCCTCCAGTTCTTCTGAACCATAATATCCTGTATCTTTCCCTCTCCAACCGTATAGCTGGTCAACGCAAATTATTTTCTGAAAACCAAAAACACATATTATCTTCCTGCAGCAGTTTAAAGTAATATTGTATATTCCAATTTCTGCTACATAAACTGATGATAAACAATAAAGATTTGATTGATTAATAGTCCAAATGTCTCCTGATCAGATTAAATCTACAATAGTAAATGAAATAATATAATATGGAGCACTTACACGACCACATTTGATACTTCTGGTATGTTTGAACCATTTCGGTAACATATTGTTAACATCGCGAAAGTATTTCGATTCTGTTTCCACCGCTGACATTCTTTGCTATAAATGACATAAATCAATACGTGTAAATGTGTACTATAACGTGTAAACGTGTACTATCGTTCCCCATCACCTTTTTACACCACAACGAACATACCGATAAAATCATGCAAGAAGGATTCCCGCCATTGCAGTGGAAAAATAAAATCCGTAGCTATAAGATAGACCATGAAAACATTTCGTATTTGTGAAGAGAGGCAGAGATGCAGAGAAGAAACAAATGACGGTACTGAAAGAGTAATGGAGCGTTGTTCCCAGGAGAGAGAGAGAGAGAGAGGGAGGAGAAGAGTTGTTCTGGAAATGAAGGGTGGAAATCTCGCTTTTCCGCAGTAAAATTACTTTGTTTATAAGTTCAGGTAGACTTTTTTTGTAGGGAATTATTAATATTTGTTAGAATTTCGCTACTGCCCTGCTATGGTACAAGTGGAGGAAGTTCGTTCTACAATTGTAAAATATGATAATGGTAGTGATGAGATCAAAAGGAAGAGTATTAGGATTTGAAGAGAGGATAAAGATTGATAAGAATGGTAGAGAAGCATGTAAGGAAAGATAAATGATTAAAAATGATGAATTCCATAGGATAATGTCCGACCTCAATCATATCACATCATTTGTCTTTTTCACAAATGCAAGTGTGCAAATTCTTTGTATATGAACAACCTATCGAATGTTATAATGTAATCAATAACTCTTTTGGCATTCAATTAGTGCAGATATTACATATGTTCAGTAATAGGACTATTTAAACATTGCATACATTATACATATTGTAAAACTGCATATATTAGATGATATGCAAATTTCAGCGCTAAAAATATTTCTATACAATACAAATTTTGGCTTATCGATGTTTTGAGATATGTCTTTACGTTAGAAAATTTTCAACGTTATATACTGATGATATAACACTCATTTTTATTTCACATAAATTTTAATATCATATGTGTACGTTCCGATATCACGTACGCTGGACATAATTCCAACACAATTCATATTCAATCAGTTTTATATACATTTGAATGCACATATGTTTTTGAACGTTATTCATTTGTTGCTGTCATGTACACATTTCCAAATATCATGCAAGTTTTAACATACAAACTTTTCTTTTACATCACGTTTCTATGTCACGAATCTTTCAACGTCATTTATATTTTTAATGTTATATACTTATTCCCATATCATACATGTGTTTATTTTGCAGTATGAAGAAGCATTAAGCAGCATTGAGATGATTAAATCAGTATATTAGGATGATAATTAGAGATTTCCAAAGAAAATGTCTTGAAAACGAAAGTTTGTGACGAGAATATCTCCGCAAACTTTTTGCTATATTAATTAGGTGTTGAAAATTTCATTTTGAAAGAAGTGACATCTCTCGATTTATATTTTTTGTTAACCGAATTCTATTTTGGATGTTTTTCATTATCAAATTCTGCTAATGTTATTATTCTACAGGTGATGAGTTCGTGGCAAGCAAACATTGAAGTTAAGAAAGCAGCCAAGGATTTCGTGGCTTTTCTTAACAAAGCTGTCACACCGTTTCACGGTATACATATTTCATTGCTTTTAAAATTAGTGATGGTTATTTACTATTGCTAAAGTAAAGTACTCACTGATTTATTACAGATTCAAAAATAAATTTCAAGTCGAAGATATCCAGAAATTAGACATATCTGTTTACTGAATTGACGTGAATTTTACAGCTGTCGAGGAAAGTGCGAATCGATTAAGGAATGCTGGATTTCAAGAACTAAATGAATCCGAGCACTGGACTATTGAACCATCAAAAAAATATTTCGTCACAAAGTATATTTCATTAATTACCTGTGCAAGCTGGAAAGGTATTTGCATTGAATGCAAATCGCTACGAGAATTTTTTTTTTCAGAAACAAATCGACAATTTTAGCTTTTGCTGTCGGTGGGAAATACCGACCCGGTAATGGATATTCTATGGTTGTGGCACACACCGATAGTCCATCACTGAGAGTAAAACCAATTTCAAAATTATGCAGTGATAAATACCTACAGGTTAGAAACTGCTTTTTCTTCTTGCGAATCTTCATGTTTCTGACGGTTAATAATCAGAACAAGTTCAAGTTATGTAATTTTTGAAGGTTGGTGTATCAACGTATGGTGGAGGAATGTGGCGAACTTGGTTCGATCGCGATCTCAGCATTGCAGGACAAGTAGTATACAAAAAAGCAGGTTTTTTTTTCTTCTAATGTTTTAACATTGCAGGATTAGCAAATTTCGATAGTAATGTCCACGTAAAAATTACGGTTTAATCATAAAAACAGAGAGATTTTTTTACAAATGGAATAACAATTTTTGGCGTCATTTCAAGTAAAACTAAACTTTAGTGTTTATTTCTCAGCAGAAAAATTTTCAGGATAGTGCTATTGTGCAGAAATTGGTAAATATTGATGCTCCCATACTTTTCATACCAAATTTAGCAATTCATTTCACTTCTGACTCAGAGCGCAACAAATTTGAGTTCAATAAGGAGACCAATTTGCGACCTATAATCGCCACTATCACAACCGAGAACTTGAATAAAGTAAATACAATATTCTCAATTTTACGGTTTTATGAAAAATTAAATACTTGATGGTTCATCCGAAGGAATGGATGATGTTTTCCATAGTCAGTGAAAGCTGAGTAGACGATAGTTTTTGTAGCTGTTTTCTACAGTCTTCGGATTTGAGAAAATGCTCTTCAAATTCTTAATTTTGAAACATTAGAATACTTATAATTTCAGAAAGGCTTCAGAAAATGTAATCATTTTTTTGAAAATCAGATGAAACAGTAATATTTTCATAAAATTTTGAAAAATGTTGAATAATTGATTGCTGGGTTTCAAAATATTTTAGAATGCGAAGGAATGTTCGACAGATGATGTTGGCATTAATGCTAGCACTGTGATAAACGATCATCATATGGTATTTCTGGACACAATAGCTAATGCCGTTGGCTGTGATCCCAGTAACATATTGGACCTTGACTTATATCTTTACGACCATCAGAAGGCGGTATGGTTTGAGAGTTTACTTGTTTTTTTGCTGTTTGTTGTTGTTCAAATTGTTTGAAGCTTGTCACTATTCAGACCGTTGGAGGAGTTCATGGAGAATTTATCAGTGGTCAAAGATTAGACAATTTGGTTGGTGTATACACATCTATTTCTGGGCTTATGAAGAGTGTTGTAATGGAGGATTCGCTTGCTAATGAAGAAAATATTAGATTGGCTGTCTGTTATGATAACGAAGAAGTGAGTGATCAGTGAACTTTTCGCGATATCTTGACCGAACTTTTGAGACACATCCTTGAATTTTAGTGTGGAAGCGAGTCGGCACAAGGGGCTGCAAGTAGCTTTACCGAATGGGTTTTGAGACGTTTAGCAGCAAATGATTCACAAACGGCATTTGAAGAATCTATGGGAAAATCATTTGTAATCAGTGCGGATCAAGCACATGCAGTGCATCCCAACTATAGAGAAAAGCATGAGGTGAAATCTAATTAATCTTTTTAAATATCTTGTCGCTGGGCATTACAGAGAGTGTCCATCCTTGACGTATTAGTATTGCAGGAATGCCACAGACCAAATCTCCATGGAGGTGTCGTGGTCAAGATAAATGTTAATCAACGTTACGCTACAACGGCTGTTACACATAGTGTTTTGAAACAAATTGCATATCTAGCGGGTGTACCACTGCAGGTGTGAGCTTCTGCGTTGTATGACTTTGATGGATTTTTAAAGCGTTCCCTATTAGAACTGCAAAATATGTAACAAACGAATGATGATGATTCGCTGAACCGTCATTCGTTTGTTACATCGCTGAAGTGAAAGATCATGTGAATTCTCAAAAAATACATTAGTAGTGATGATGACCTTCATTACTCAAGCGAAAAAAACTTCACAACTCTACCTTTTAGACTGTTTGGACACGACTCTCTTCCTACTTTTTCTCTTCCTACTTTAAATACACAGAAGTGTTCTTCGTAAATTTTAAGCGTACATGCACGACATAGTTGCAGAAAATAGTGACTAGAAACGACATGCCATGTGGTTCAACGATCGGACCCATTCTTTCTACTCATCTTGGCATCCAAACAGTAGATGTTGGCTGTCCACAGCTGGCAATGCATTCCATACGCGAATTGACGAGTGCTTCGAGTATCTATCAAGCTACTACACTGTACTCGGTAAGTCCTTAAAAAATTACGGAATAACTGAGAGCTGCCAACTGCCAAATCCAAAAATGAGTAGATGCTGGATTTTTACTCAAATTTAATTAATTTGTATTACTCAAGCAAACGAAAGTCTGCAACGGATAAATTATTCAGCAAGAAAGCTTTGTTTCTAAATTTTTGATTGCTTCAGGTTTTCTACCAACAAATTCCGCATGTTTTGGCAACCATTTTATGAAGAGATTAATGATCTGCTTGCTGTTAGTCTTTGTCAGTTACCTTTCATTTTCATTTGTCACGTTAACACAATTTTTAAAAAAAATTGACAAAATTTGTAATGACAAGTAAACATGGAATAAACATACCAGACAAAGCAGCAACTATCGACTGTATTTACATTAACATTATACATTCAGAAAAAAAGCAATTCTCAACTCTTATTCAAAATATACTTGGCTTTGAAATACTCCAACGACATGTCAAAAGAAAGCTGAGATCAAATATTTTCGTTTTCAAAAGATTCACTAATTTCGCTCATTCGCTATTTTCGATTGCTGTTACACTGCACTCAAAAACATCTTACTCTCAAATTCGCTTGAATCTATGAATAAGTTGAAATTTCGTTTGAATAATGAAATGAATTAATATAAAGTAATCAATAGATAAGCTGGTTTTGCATTTCTCTATGTGCATCCTAAAATTTTTGGAAACAAACAGAAGTCTATGTCTCACTCAAAAACATCTTCATGCTCACACACATATTTGAAAACATCACGAGGTGTTTTTAACTTCTCACTATCCAATTCCGGTATCTCAAAACCGAATTCATCTTCCAGTGACATGACAATTTCAACGTGATCCAAGGAATCGAAACCCATATCTTTGGTAAAATCACTATCTAATGTCAGCGTCTCCTTTTTTTCTTCTGGAAATCGATCCCATGCACGAATTGCTTTCATAACTCGTTCCTCAACCTAAAAATCTACGAATTAATAGTTCGGAGGAGCAGTACAACTACAATTACTTTTGTCTCTGCTCGTATACAACTCTATAAAGAGAGGACAAACTTCTTCAAAAGTAAGCTTTTTCGGTGGTGTGAATGGTCCCATATCTTCTATGGTTCTTGTTGAATGACACATCGGAGAGGTCACAAAGTTTCTGGATATCGTTTCCAGTTGTGATGCTCTTAACTGATGCATCCCACGTGAGCATAATATCGCAGACCGCGCAAAATTTCTGCTAAAAATACTCAACCACATCCCCTATAAAGGAAATCATGATAACACTTCCATACTAATCTGTAGCATGCAAATGAAAACACGCAATATGTCCAAACAAAGTAAGCAGACATGCATGAAATCCTGCAATGGCTCTTAACGACAAATATAAACGTCTTCGTATTTATTTTTATATTATGAATATAGTCTTCTCAAACCTTCTTTCTCAGCACAAATATGTTTCCACTCTCGCACAAAATAAAAACCCGCAAAGTATTACAAAATCTCGACACTGCCAGGTCTACATGTCCCGAGTATATTTTAGACTTCAATTACGCGCAATTTATTCTTTTTTGAGCTAAGTATTTGAAGAAATTGCAGAAAAAGCTTCAGAAATCATGCAGTGCCATGATGATAACAATATTTTATTTCAATAAAACAGATTCAAATGAAACATTCCAGTAAAAATTTTACAATCACTTGTGATGTTTACGAAGATTCGTAAGGATTGCCTGAATCTCATCACGCTTTCTCTTGGCACGAACATGCGAACCAATGCGCCTCTTCAAGAACTTCAGTGCCTTTTTGTCTTTGCTAAAATGTGAGAAAAATCAAAAACTAAGCAAATTTTCCACAGTTAATTTATAGACACAAAGTCTACATACTAAATTCTCAAAAACCAAATATTACCTGATTCTCAGCAGTTCCATCGTTCGTCTTTCATAAGGTGCAAACCCAGCCACCTCACGAATCAGTTCACGAACAATTTTACTTCTTTTGGTTATACGTCCTTTACGTCTATTTTGGCGTACTTTTCGTTGATTTTTCGTTACCTACAAAATTTAAGCAAAATATACAACGTTTGAACATATTTCAGTGGACCACTAGACCATTCTAATTTCCATTGCCACTGGAATAAAAAAAAAGAAACCTTGTAACCAGCATTAAGACCCACTGCAACCGCTTCAACTGCAACCATTTTGCTCTCTGAAAAAAGGAATAAGAAAACAATTCAAGAAATTTCAGTTACAAACCGCATTCATACGATCATAATGAAACATAAATACCCTAAATTTGATGCGCAGTGCAACAATTATAAATTGGAAGAAAAATGCAAAATACATTAAGATTTATTAACTGGAGAAATGCAAATACTTTCATTGTATAAAAATAAAAACATCCGAATTTTGGAAAAATATGAAACTTCACCAATTTGACTGGTGTGTTGAAATTTCAAACAAAATAATGTTTCATAGCTACACAAAAGTACACAAGCCACAGCATGAAAGTAGTAAAAGCGAAAAGTGAGAAAATTGCAAACGTGGCACGTGGTACAAGTTAATTAGTTACAATTATAAAATATTGTACAAATTGTATTTACAAATTGACTGGCAATTATAATAAGTAAATATCCTCATCCCCAGTGAAAAATAGTCTTCGATTTACCTATATTAATCTCATAATGGTTTCAAAAATTAACAAATTTCAATTTTACAGACGTAAAAAATTCATCAATTAAGTACTGTTGAATTAAACAAAGAATGATAATCCAAAAATACATCTATATCCTGAAATCCTGCACGAGATTTATCAGCAAAACCGCGATGCTTTTACATTAGGTTTATCAGCTATTTTCAGTACTACTGGAAATACTGACAAATCCGCGCAATTGCAATGTACACTTGGTTCAAAAGTATTTCATTTAAAAATACGATAATAAAAAAACGAAATACAACGCAATAAATTCAGTTTAAATACGCAGGACTGTAGGTTATAAATATGAAATAAATTAAAATTACAACGAAACGAAATCAAGCTGATACATTTCCTATAAACGATGATTAATTTAAGAGAAAAAAGAATGAAGCTAATTTTACTCAACAGAACTTCTAGTTCTAGTTTGCTCGATTCTAAAGTTTGTACTAAGTCGCACTGGTGAATGTGAATGATGATCACGAAGCGACATTCTCCTCTTCTTTACAACATTTGTTTGTCCAGCATTTTTACATCCAACTGATTTCAATAAATCAGATAGGCTTGATGTCATGTAATTTGTAGTTGCTATTGAAGGACCAAATATATGGACATAAGGGTGTGTTCTTTGCTTATAATTATCTGCTTGTGCCTAAAATAAGAAACTTTGATAAACAATGGTGTGTTTTCCAGGAAACTAAAATTTGAGCTTTTACTAAAAATGATCTTGTAAATCCCAAAGGAAGAAAAAGGGAACCACATATTTCCCTACCCTAAAAGTGCAGAAGTAATAGCATTATTCAATTCATGAACTAACCAGAAAACTGCTAACGATGCAAAATGGAAATAAAGCACCGAACAAAAATGCATTGAACATCATATTATCCGTAAGACTAGTGAGAAGGGTAAGCACAGTGCCATAACCCAAGAAATATGGCCAGTTACGTTCAATAAGATTGACACGTGCTCGTAAGCCGATTCCAAGCGACATCCACAAGTACTCAAAACTAAAAAATAGTGATAGACCGAACACATATATAGATGCTCACTTAACTTTGCAATTAAAAACAAATCTTCAAATTACGGCTCCTGCAACGATTTAGCAGCCATCTCGATTGGCTACACACATTGTATTCATCAATATTGCATAGATACTTTACTTAGATTAAAAAATTTTCAAAATAACGCGATGAGCAACAAGATTCTTCATGCCTTCAGTCAAATCATACATATGCTGGAGATAACTACAGAAACTTTACAAAAAAACTGCACCGGCAAAAGATAAAGTTAGTCGACGTTATCACACTCACTAATATAAATGCCATTTATGCAATCGAATACTAAATTGACGTTGAAAAAACGGTGCATATTCCGTTACCAAATAAATATTGTTTTCCAAAACGAAAAGACTAACCTGAATAATGAATTAAGCAAGGTTATGTGGATAAAAGCAAATGCCGTAGAAATGAAGGGTACCGGGATACTGTTGACGAATAGCGATTGTAAAAAAAAGATAGAATCAAGAAGTATCGAAGAACAAAAATCACCGGTCACTCGACTAAAAATTAATAAAGTTTTTCATGTCTCAATGTTGAAGACGTCGTTCAATCTACCTCCAGTTGTTGAATTTCTTTACAAATAGCAGTTGCAAAATTCAGTACTCAGTTAAAATTATCGTTTAGTTATCTCCTGTATATGAAATGAACAATGAATATGCGAAATCCATAGAAACAAAAGCACATCAATTAATCATACCTTAAGGACAGGCTTGGAGTATGTACACCCGTGTATTTCAGTGAAGCGTTTGCAATATCAGAAAACCATACACTATTACATATTCGTGAAATAATCAGTGCAGAAATACATACCGACCCATGAAGTAATCGAAGAAATGTTGATGTTTGATTAGGCATTGTTACACATAATATAAAGACAAGTATCATGTTCAAAGTGAGCGAATAGATAAGTCTGAAAATCGATAAACACTCATTTTTATTCATAAAATCTTCCTCCCTTTTTTTGTTCCGTTTTGTCGAAGTACTGTGATAAATGTTCATTAGAGAAAATTTATAATTACCCAGTGATTGCTTTCGGTTTTGCAACCATTTCAACATTACGTTTCTCTTTCGTTGCACTAGCCTGTCGTCGTTGCTGGAGCACAGTAGTCATCTTTGGATGCAACAGCTCCTTTTGTTTATCCTCCATTTTCCTCCGCTCCACATCTGAGATCTGATCCAATTTATGAATTACCTGAAATTCATTTTAAGAGAACTACGATTTGTATTTAATACATAAAGAATAGTGATAAAAGATCACTTAGCAAGGCCAATCTGTCTTCAAATGTTCTAACATTTCTTTCTGGCGTATACAAATCAAAATAAAAAACTTCTGTGATCTGTAGCTTAATGACATCTCTGCGTTGAAGTGCATCGATGTGCATGCTTCCACAGATATATTTACTTTCGCTTTTCAGTACTCACAGTGCACCACGATGTAGCTGCACGGCGTATGTTGGAAAAGCAATTTGCAATGATGCCATGCATGAACTAAGTTAATATATGCAATGAATATAGTAAAACCCATGTCTTATATCATATATCTACGCAATGTTAGACAAATATATTCATCACAGATACATTTATTCTTTTTCTAATTTCAGAACTTACTCAAAATTGATATATTTTCCCAACAAAAATTCTTTATAAATGCTTACGAAAAGACTTTTCAGCGAATCTCGCAAACCACATAAGTAATCACACATGCACGCCGGCAAACCCATAATCGTCCACAAAATCCTGCCCCACAGCACCACTGGACGTTCTCCGGTGCAGACACACCGCTCACCCGCACACCACTGACCACTTCCACTAAATCTGAAAATATCTATAAATAGAATATGAAAAGTCACAATAATAATACATGCGCTATAACGGAAAATAGCCGGACTGTTCACAATAAAATACCAGAACTATACGGAACGAAGAAATACTTACTTAAATCATTCTTCTTGACCGTAATAATATATAAGAACAATTGTAGCCCATGGTTGAAATGCCCTTAATGCCCGCGACATACCGGTACATTTACCACCCCTGTGTGTCGAACCGTTCATCTCCTTTCTGCCTATAAGTATTGGCGAATAATCAATTGGTCTGAAGACGAATAGCCAAAAATCGATAAACTGATCTTATTTTTTCTCTGTTACACTCGCTATCTACGAATTACATACTCTCTATTAATTTTCTCGCTTGTCTACCTTTCCTAAAAATTCTATAAAAAGCTGCACAAACTTCAACTTCAAGCAGACGCCGTACGATTGTTCTTCTCGGAAAAGAAAGATAACTTTTTAAGCGGATATGTTTTTGTTTTCGTTCTGTTGCATTAACAATTAATTAAAAAGACTAATTTTGAAAAAATTGAAACTGTCATAGCTGTTTTAATAATTCGTAATTAATTTCTTACTTTCCAAACAAGAAAGCTCGAAGATTGCTGAAGTCGCACGTGATCGATTTTTCTAACCTATAAGGTTGAGAGCAATTTTACTGGTTGGTTGTTGCGTGTGTGGTGCGTATTTCACGTGGATGAGTGGACATAACTTTATATTAATGTATAAAATCTTGACTATTTTCTCATTATGTGTGCTAAAATATAAACTAATGTGTACATTTAACTATACCTGCTGTTACGTAGGAATTCCATCCATGTAGTTCTATCAGCTGTATAGACTTCTAGGAAAACACAAATTCTATGTAAAGTGTGTTTATCTACGGAGAAATGCTCATGGAGATACAACGTCTTCTTGTTTGATCAAATTACAGCTTTTTTGATGCTTCTGAAGTAACTACTTGGAAGCATTCATGTTTATTAAATTATCATTTGTGAGCCCGGTTTTTTTTTTTGCTTAAATTTTCTATCCTGTAGCAATTGATGATTTTAGTTGTTAGTTTTGTCTTCAGCATAGGAAACTCTAGATGCCGCCACGAAAGGGTAAAGTTAAGGAAGAGCAGCCAGTGGTTACATTGGGACCACAAGCCAAGGAAGGCGAAAATATATTTGGTGTCGCACATATTTTCGCATCGTTCAATGATACCTTTGTTCATGTCACTGATATATCTGGTCAGTTGATATTTTTTTATTTTATTATTACACATAAAAGTGTGTTTCAACTTCCTGATCACTTCAATTGGTAGAGAACTGAGTTTCGATTTTTTCCCGGTGATATGTATTTATAAAGTTACATGTATAAAGATGCGTATTCCAAAGTTAGACGTATGAAGAAGGAATACTCTTCTGGTTTCAAATATTTTACCATTAATATTACGACCATGGGTCGCATCTAAATTCAATCCAATTTCAATCATCAGTTATCTGCCGTTACTCTGTAACATTTCATTTTTTTTCTTGTTTTAAAAAATGTGAAATTCGAACAATATCTTCAAAATCTGCTTGTGTCAACAAATTTAATGGACGGAGACTTTGTGTGTTTGTTGCGCATTCATGTGTACTTCAGTTCAGTCTCTAATGGCGAACTGTGGAAGGGACGAATGCTAAATTATCATTTGGTGTATTTCTTGAGAGGCTTCTTATACGCTTATTCGATTATAACATCAAATTACAGTCATTTTTTATGATATTTTTGGAGTTTGCATCTACAGTAGGACGTATCTTCCACATTTTAGCCCTCTATTATATGAGTTTATATACAGTATAAGGTTACGATGAATTTTCACCTTTTTAAAAGTATTTGATTTAGGTCGAGAAACAATTGTACGTGTGACTGGTGGTATGAAAGTAAAAGCGGACCGTGATGAAGCATCACCCTACGCTGCTATGCTTGCTGCGCAAGACGTTGCTGAGCGCTGTAAAGCAGTAAGTTTGCTGTTATTTTTGTCAAGTATAGTCAAATCAGCAAACGGCGCTGAATAGTTTGAATTTTAGAATAAATAAACTTCGGAAGGTAATGAAAAGTTGCTTTCTGGTTCATGCAGCTGTGAACAGGATGCTTAATAAATAGCTTTGAAATATGACAGATTGATAACATATGCTTAAATAGATTTTTCCTAAATTATATTTAGAAGAAATATCAAGCAGTCAGGCCTAATTTATCAGTTGCCTTTCTGAGTCATAATGTCTCTGCTGATGTAATTTCCTGAGGGTTGTGTTGTTTCATTAATGTTTATCTTTGTTATTGTTAATTTGAATACGTACAAATTTTCAGTTATCAATTAACGCTTTGCACATCAAGTTGCGTGCAACGGGTGGAACAAAAACAAAAACTCCAGGACCGGGAGCGCAATCGGCGCTTCGTGCATTGGCTCGTTCTGGTATTAAAATTGGACGGATTGAAGATGTAACACCTATCCCAACAGATTGTACCAGACGTAAGGGTGGCCGTCGTGGTCGCCGTTTGTGAAGTTTTTTTTTTTTAAAGTTTGTGTGCGAATCAATATAAGTTTATATGATTGGTTGTTATTATGGTTGATAAAGTTTATGGAGAGTATTGTTTTGTGTTGGCAATGAAGACCCAGTAAATTTGGTTGAAAAGGTTGATTGATTTGTGGTCAAATACAGTTATTTCTTCACATACGACAAATGAAACGGTTCATTTATGGCCTGTGAAGAAGTGTGAATGTTAACGAAAGAGTGTGGGATGGAGGTTATTAATATAGCAAATATGTTTGATGTTGTGGATCGTTACGGCCATTCATTGTCTATTGCGAAAGGCAACCGAAGCTGTGCAAATATTTTTTACAAGGACACAGTTATACAATACCCTGTTGACAATGTTGATGAATCATGGGCACTGCATAATCCATTGAATTTTTAGCAAAAGGTAATAAAATTAACAGATATAGTTTTGAAAAGTCATAATTTGATTGACTGTAGTGATGTACTGCATGGCTTATACCATGGCTCTGTTAATATGCATCCAAGCATGCAATGGTTTGTTTCCGGCTTTTTGCTAAAATAAGAAATATTATTAGAAGTTCCATTCATTCACTTTCGATACCACCGACACTATGACCAAAATTTATAAGTCAGTGAATTAAACTTAAGACATCTCTGAAGTGTAGAGGAAATTTTTAATCAACAAATCTGATCATTTGTGGTACGTGAGGTAGCATGCAGAATCCTGCTTTAAAGATCGTTTCGCATATTTGAGATAGTTCTGGAAATTACATTGCAGGGAGTAATTTCATTTTTAGGGAAATTTTTTTCACGCAACATTTCAGAAACACCGTAGAAGAGATGGCTATATTTGCTAGGAAAATGTTTTTGAAAGTAAAAATTTTGCTAGGATAATTTTTGCAAGTGCTTTTCCATTCGTCAAATTAATTTTTAGGTATTGGTCGTTTATGTCGAAATGGGGTACAATGTCCGGATGGACAGTACTGCATTTGGGGAAAATGCCTTTGCTTCAATGGGCAAGTTCTAATGAACGACAAATGTATTGTAGACTTTTATTGCCGGAACGGTAAAGAGGTGCATTTCCTCGTCTGATGTCTGACATTAAATGACAAGTTAATTATTCTAATATTGAAAAATTGAAATTTTTAAATAACTTTATAAAAAATGGAGAAAAGAAAATTTTCAAACTCATTACGAATAAATTTCACTATTAAAATGAGGTTAACAATTATCACCTCACCCATTTAACAACAACTAATCGAGAATATACAACGAATGAGTAGGAAGTAAAGTGAAAATTTTGACAAATTGATTACCATAATATTGCACACTTGTCACGATATTTCACATGTGTTAAATACAACATTGCATTCTTATAAAGGTCGTAATATGTGTAGGATAAGCTGAAGGTTATGTTCAAACAATTCTTAGCGATTAAGACAGTTCTTATTAATCATAAAAATTTCCATTTAAAATTACGCTACGGTATGCAGCACTGTAATGCTGTAAGTAAATTTAACATGTTAGGATTTCAACAGAATCATGAACTAAGTATTTTATACAGGCCTGATATTATTATCGATTTTTTAAATTCTTTTTCTAATTAACTTTTATATGCTAATCGATATTTACCACAATATATGCCAATTTTCACATATATTGTAATAAATATCGATTAGAATGCAAAAATAAATTTCGAATGTGATTTAAAATCAATGAATGTCACTAAATTGTTACATATTATCGTTTTATTTACTTCATATATCAAATTTATATTCTTATTTCCTAATTTATTTTAATTGTTTTATTATTTCTAATTTCCAATAATTTTATCCCATAAGATAAGAGTAGAATTCGTCATTGTTTATTAAAATTGAAATTGAGGTTTATCATAATGGGCAGTGCTATTATCTAGCAGCGATCGGTGACAAATGCCTTATCAATGAGCAATGTTATGGCGAATCGTTCTGTGTAAACAGTTCTTGCACCTGTCTTCACGGTTCATCATTATAACATTTCTTTTAATTTAGCTATGATCAGATTTAGCAAGAAACATTTAGTGAAAATTTGAAAAAGAATAATCTGTCATCCTAAGACATCAAGTAAGTCCGAAATTGTAACTCCTTATTATGATAGATTTAAATTTGACTCCTGACACTTAAATTCTTTTCTTTTTTACCGGTCTTCGAATTTATTATCAATAGGTGTTTCACATGCAGTCTAATTCGGTATTTATCTTATAGCGCTGTAGAAATGATAAGAGCGTTGTAGCATTCAGATATGACAATAGATTTAAGCAACTGATGTTGCCAATATAATGCCGAGAAAAATAAACGAAATATACGTAGTCTTGAGGAACTTCTATTAAGTCATCACCAAACGTCACCACTGATATCTGATAAGAGAATGAGGATAAACTAGTAGGATAGTTTATATAAGATGTCGCATATCATCAAGTATCACCGTTTGTCTAAAAAACATGCAAATTCTTCAAAAACATTCAAAAAATTCAAATGCAACTTATAATTATTAATTTTACCAAATAACCGGTCGAACAATAATATAAGTAAATAAACTATGAAAAGAATTTATAAAGTTTTAAATTTGTTTTCATCAAATCTTCAAACAGTATGAATGTGTCGGTTAATCTTTTTCTTTTTAAACAAATAAATGATTTATCATAAAAATCTCAAATTAGATTAAAGCATCATAAAAGAAGTTAGAAGATTTGATTTTTGTTTCTGGATTAAATTTTCCTGCAGAAACGGTTAACGTGAATGGATTATGTCTAAAAAGCAGTTCCCATTCTACCAGTCAATGCGAAATTCATCAAGTCCTTGTCAAAGAACAATGCTTAAATATTGCTGTCATTGGTGAGATATGTCAGGTGGACGCGCAATGTTCCGGTGGCGCTAATTGCTTAAATCAGCGCTGTTCATGTCCATCAGGAACTGTTCAAAATGAACAAATGTTTCTTATTTGCTTTTGTTAAATTTTAAAATTGAAATATATTTTGATGCTATTCAAGATAACTGAGAGAATTACTTGAAAGTAGGAAGAAAAAAAAGTGGTGACAGGAAGGTATATTTGGCTTTGTATATTATAAGTTTTTTATATTTTACCCAATGTCACTAAATTAATTGTAACGGAGAAAATAA